GAACTGTACTCGGTATGAAAGTCCAAGAAAACAATGCTCGTGGATATGATCCCCGCTGTGTACGTAGCGCTTGTGGTTGACTCAAAGTCGAGATCTCCTTACATTAGGTCCTCACTGGCCCGCAATGTACGCTGAACAGCACGCAAAGTACAGTGTACCAAAACAAAAATTCAATTTTGGACGACATGAGCACCGCGACTATCTTACAAGGACGCCTTGAGTTGTTGCTCTTCCACAGGTTTCACCTCGACCAACAGCTTGCCTAGAACATGTGAGCAATGTCATGCTTATGCCAGGGTTCGACTCACCGGTGTTGACGCCATTGTACAAATCTCGGAGTGCATTCTCCGCTTGAGCCAAGCCGCCCTTGATGATGGTTTCTTTCCGCTTGATTCTGCCCTCGGAAAGCCACTGCGCTAGATCCTTCAAGGCGCGAGGATACTCCTTTGCGTAGTCGAAGACGATAAAGCCTTCCATGCTGGGACGCCATCAGCGTCGGGATGCAAATGTGCAAAAGGGCGCAGACTTACCGTATGCGCATGGATACAATCATCAGGTAGTTCTGCGTGCGCGCCGGTTAGACTGCATGCTTTAGAAGGAGCTGGGGCCATCATCCAACCTTTGGTCCTTGCGGGTTTGAGGAGTTGTACTGGCTGATACCTATAGAAATCTGAGCACGATTCGCCGAGCACATGGCGTTGGTGGCATATGTACCTCCACACATAACGAACCGGGCATGCGGTTTCGCTCGGCTAAGCGCCATATCCAGGATTTCTCCACCAACTGCAACCACAGTGAGTAGAAGACACCGAAGTAGCAGGGGCATCACTAACCGTTGTCAAAGTACACGTCAATCAGGTCCTGTGGGGGAGTCAGCGTCCGAGGTGACCTCAAGCTTGGCCAATACTCACCTTCGTCGCGGCTCTGAACTTCTTGAAAAAGTCTTTGTCTTTGTAGTTCAGGGCATCATCGAATCCCAGCTCTTCCTTCAACCATCGGACTTTGTCGCTGCTACCAGCAATACCTAGCACAGTGGCACCCTTGAGCTTGGCAATCTGGCCGACGACGCTACCGGTAGCGCCCGCAGCTCCGGACACGACAACAAAGTCGCCGGCCTTGACTCTGCCGACGTCGATGATCCCAAAATATGCCGTAAGCCCCGTCATTCCTGAAACGCAGAAGTCAGCGTCAGGCGTGCGGCTTTGAATCAGACGACGCGGTGGATACCCAAAACACTCAGCCCATCGGTCAACCTCCCGCCTTTCGGCACCACCACTCTCTGCAACTCGCTGTCCTTGAGAATCCTATATTCAGTCCATCCCGCCGTAGCCGTCGCATAACTGCCAGCCGGAAATTTGGACGACTTGCTGGCCTTGACCGTCCCGATGGCTCCGCTTCGCATGATCTCTCCGATCTTGACGGGCGGAATATACGATCTCGTATCGTTGAGCCAGCCCCGCATGGCAGGGTCGATACTCAAGTAGTTGGTCTCGAAGAGGACCTCTCCATCTTTCAAATCACTGGCCGACGGGGTCGGGTTGTCGGAGACAAGCTTGAACGTCTCGCCTGGGATGATGTTGTCTTTGGGCCGTTTGGCGAGGATGACTGCTTTGTGGGTGCGTGCCATGTTAGACTGCTTTCCAAGCTTGGGATTCTCCTACGGCGGGTTGAAGGCAGCACCGTCTAAGAACAGTGAGCAGGTTGGCACTACAAGTCTAGAGAGAGTGGTCCAACTGAACTAAAAGCTTCTGTCAGAATGACCAACGCTGGAAAATTCCTGTAAATAGAACGTTGGGAGGTAGCATCAGGCGTTTAGTGATCGACTGAACTGAGTGGGAAGTGCCTCGGCTTGAACCATGTGCGCGGGTAGCCTACGTCGAAGCACCCGCGTGCACGCGCAGGGTACGGTCAAGCAGTCGCTTGTCTCTGTCGCGTGCCCTCGGTGACTGCGCGTGCTCAACGTACAGAACGCGTCAAGGCGTTGGTTTCTCATGTCTTTGGTGCCTTTGGGTTGACAGCTTAGCAAGACCGGCGCCCTGGTGGTTGTGAAGGGGCAGGTGAGTCGGCTCCAAGTGGCCCTCCTCAAGCCGGGGCAGATGGTCAGGGGCCCGCAGCACGACATTGCCGGGAAATGAGGGAGGACGCAGTTCGAAGAGATGTGGCCGTCGATGAATGCGTGTCGAGGACGACGGCTGCAATATTCGATTTGGAGTCGCAAAATTGACTTACAGCTAGCACCGTGCGAGGAAGTCACAAGCCATGATACTTGGATTCTGGAGGTTCGCTTGCGATGAAGGTTGAACCAGGTACTGTTGTCAACTTACCTTCCAATTTACGGACCGAGACCATAAGCCAGACCACTGCCGTTGACGATGGTATACACCGATAGGCTTACCCATTACCATTGCAGCGATTACACACAGCGGACTGAGCGCAAGACTGGAAGAAATGTGTGCCTTTTGACGTGCAGTCTACCCTTGGCGGCACGATCTGCCGTGTTGGCCGGTGTCGGACATTGACGCCGACGGTCGAGACGCGGAGTCGGCAAAGCATCGTTTAGGCTTTGTTCCTGCATCACAACGTCGAATCCATTTTTGCCGGTCTTCCTCGTCTTCAGCATCAGGGCCGCCTACGATAGACTTCCGCGAAGACTTTGTTGTTGCAATGGCAGGAAATGCGGCTCAAGCGCATGGGACAGCCCAGGGGGTAGACGACCAAGACATTCCGACATATACCATTATCCAAGCCGACGGTCTCTATCCTGTACTCTCACACTCACACTCCACTCGCCCTACTCTCCAGCTTCCGTGCTCTGACTAATTCTCTAGAACTTAGGACGACATACTGGAAACCAAAATCTTCACCGAAAACCCACCCCACGCTTACAAGGTGAAGTACCTCCAGACAGGCTTATTCCCGACAGGGACACCGCTGCCGAAACCGTGGTCGACCATCCCGCAAGAACTACGAGAGCAGGTCGACGGGATCATGGTGCTGAAAATGGGCTTCACAGCAGCCGACGTGGCCCTGTTTCCTAGGCTGAAAGTGTAAGTCCGCTCCGCAGCTGTCGAGGCCAATCTAGTGCCATGTACCCATCCCTCGTATAAGTACGGAGTATGCCCTCGGGCGAATGACCCAGCTGAAAACCCCAACCCACAGCATCGTCCGCATGGGCGTCGGCTACGACCGCCTCGACCGCGTCGCACTGGCCAAACATGGCGTCACAGTCTGCAACGTCCCTGACTACGGCACCGCCGAGATCGCGGACCACGCGCTCTCGCTCGCCCTCTCGCTCCGGCGCGGCGTCCTATTGCACCACGACCGCCAGCGCCAACCGTACCTCTACCCGTGGATGGTCCTCGAGACGCCCCTCGTCAGCCGCATCCAGGGCGCCACCTTCGGCATCCTGGGACTCGGGCGCATCGGCACCGCGGCGTGCCTCCGCGCCAAGGCCTTCGGGTGGAACGTCCTCTTCTACGACCCTTACCTTCCCAACGGCGTGGACAAGGCCCTCGGCATAGAGCGCACGAAGGACATCAAGGACCTATTCCGCCGGAGTACGATGCTCAGCCTCCACTGCGCGTGTACGCGCGAGACGCGCGACATGGTGGGTTGGGACCTCCTGAGCCTCATGCCCCGGGGTTCCATCCTGGTGAACACGTCGCGCGGAGAGGTGTTGCAGCTAGATGCCGTGGAGCGGGCGCTGCGCGAGGGCATCCTCGCCGGCGCCGGGCTCGACGTAGTCCCCGAGGAGCCGATCCCGGAGGACAACGTGCATTCGCTGATCAGGGCGTATCGGGAGAGGGAGGAGTGGTTGGTCGGTCGGCTGGCCTTGACTTGCCACACGGCGTTTTATAGTCCGCAGAGTTTTGTGGATATACGGGTCAAGAGCGCCCAGACGATGCGCGAGGTCCTAATCGATGGGCTGCAAAGTAATGTGATAACGCCGGATATGTTGTAGAGTGTGCGCACGTGGAGCGAAGTGGCACCTGGCAGTGCACGGCGTAGCGTGGGCTAGCATAGGCGGCATCGCGCTCTTCATATACTCAATGGCAGTAAGAGTGGACAATTTTGAACCTGAGAAACCAAGCTGCCATGACAACCAGGATACTCTTTTGGCTTTTCGATGCTTTTCGCCCTTCTGCACTCGATACTCAATGCCTAGAGACGATCGCCCGTGTTCAACTACACAACGACATGCTTATGTACATATACTGTAGGACCGCACACACTTATCTACATATTTCCTGGCATTCATATCCGTCGGAGCTTGTCACAGATACCAATGCAGTGGGCTCAGAAATAGGGTACGAGCAACCTGACGGACTATTGATGGACTATTTTTATCATGATAGTAAGGTCGTGCCCGAACATCCTCGCCGAGACAGTGAAGAAGATTATATTTCCTCCCCAGAAACTCTGCGAACGTGCTTCAGCCTCATCCCATTCTTAAGTCTCCGCCTGTTCCCTGGTTTAGAGACCGCTGTAAACTGTCCAATCGACTAGCCTGGCCTGCCGGGGACGTTTAATTCTCGACGCCGACAAAATTTGCCCTGAACGCCATGGCCATAGAGTTCGTCGGCGAAACGACCAAGAGGTTACCAAAGGGTCAATTTCTCCAAGATCTTCGTTCTTGTTAGTCGACGTATCGATGGAACGAACCTGCATCTCATCCAGGGACGGACTAGGTATCGGCTGACTGTCACTGTCGCTTTGTCCGGCTGAGAGCGACAGAGGTGCATCTCGTCAGATCAAGTTGTCATCCCTTGGCGATCATGGCATCGAACTGAGGCGGATGGAACTTGTTGACAGCAAATTTAGGAGATCAGCTTCAGAAGCTTGCCAAACATGACGATGCCAGCTATGCTATGATGGGAGCTTCTTCATAGGCTGGCGATAGACGAAATGGGATGGGTCCTAGGCCATGAACAAGACCTCGAAAGGAGGACGCCTCCATGGCTGAGTATTGTGCTGAACTTGCTCGCCGTTCACCGCTTGCTTCACCCTGTCGTTGCCATTGTGACTGTGGCATCGCCCATCCGTGTCTTCTCATCCCCGTCTCCACCACCGTTGCTTGACGAGGACTGCTTCGATTCGGCCTCTTTCCTCCTCTTGTGGTCTTGCTTGATTGCATCAAAGGTCGCCTGCTCGTGGTCCCTGATGCCACTTGGAAAGAAAGTCCCAACCATGTTGAAGCCAACCTTCTCATACCTACGTTCGACCTCGTAGAGCGTATCAATGACCTTCGGACTGCCATATACGCCAACATAGTCGACCGGCACGCCCAACGCCTCTGGCTTCCTATTCCAGCCAGCAACAAACATGTTTTGCAGGATGCCGATTCCACCGACCGCGATCAGGAACCAGGCATCGTCGATCAGCGCTGAGCTTGTAATAAGGAGCAAGACCCACAAGACCCCGAGCAGCGCATAGATCAGACGTGATGACATAGTGATATGCGGCGCATCGACATTGGCAAACCCGGTTGCGAGGTCCTCGAGATCCAGCCCACGTCCTTTGCTGTCGATGAGGATTGCGTGCTGCGCGCCATTCCCTCGCGTCAGAACAAAGACCTTCTCTTTGCCGTCGAGTTGGCGACACGCCCACTTTTCCACCTTCCACTGGGTCAGCGACCCCGTGATGAAACAGAGGGCTATAGCAGCGGCGGTGATCAGCAGCACGCCCCAGTCTCCGTACAGCCCGCAAGGTATCGCGGCGACGCCGAGCTGGACGAACGAGACGCAGATGCCCGACCAGTAGAGGATGTCCTTTCCTGGCTTTCCAGCGGTTTTCGTGGCGCTGGCTTCCCAGAAACTGACAACTAAGCCCGCTTGGACGCGTTCGGGCACGGGCTTTTGAAGCTGAGGATGCTTCTTCTTCTCAGCTTCGAGGTCGTACTGGCGAGCAGACTTGAGGACTCTTTCCGTCTCGACCTTGATCTCATCCGTCATCCACCAGTGGTAGTCTCGCATGATGCGGCCTAATACCCACGACCCATTGCCACGAACGGAGCCGTTCTTGCCGTTGATAAGAGAGCAACCCGTGTCAGCATCGGGCATCAGTTTATGCTCTCCGATGGCCGAGTTGACAGCCGATGTTGCATAAGACACCCATCCTAACGGAAAGTGAGTACCACCGCAACAACGACGAAGACGGCAGAGGCGTCCAAAGACTTTAAGATCACAAACGTACCGAAGGAGAATGCGACGGGGGTCAGTCTACCGCCGGCTAGCTGCGCCAATGCCTTAGCGACGACATCGCCGCCGAGCAGCAGAAGAATCGTGAACGCGTAATTGCTCGGGCTCTTCCATTCGTCGCGGAACCAAGTGGCAGGAATGCCGGCGTCGAACGGGCGGCCTGGGACGGGGCTCATCTTATCGGGCTGTTCTCGTGGTTAGATTACCAACAGAGCTGAAGCATATCTCGACCAAGTCATAAGGCGGGAACGGGATGTGCAGCAGACACAAAGACGACAGATGTATACGGAGGATGAGGGAAGCCCAAATCATTACTTAGGTACACTTGGGGAGCACCGTTAACACGCCACGCCCAGGCCGCCAAGTCAGGGCTGCGAGTGTCCAAGTTAGGCGTGCCCGAGCCAGCCCCTCGAGCCCGTTGTGGCATAGCCTAACGGTGCTCCGCGCGGCAAGTTCCCTGCGACCATTTTCAGCTTGATTTCACCACTGTACGGAGTATCTTTGGCGAGCACAGCTCTACACAGTATTTCCTGGGAGCCTGGCTTCATTGCTGGCTACAGTCTCGGCCACCCTGCACACGAAAAGTAAATGGTTGTGCAGAAATTCTCCTACACTGGGAGTGCTGCGATTCGTCCGAAGCACTGGTCAAAAGGTGAGATGCACGTTTACTGCGTCTTGACTAAAGTTTGACAAGTTTGACAGTGTTTGACTCAAAGCCGCCTGGGGCACAGCCCGGGGAAGTCGTGTTCGGGAACGCCGCGCCCTGCTTGCGCCAATGATGGATGGTCTCGTCCCTGCTCTGAGCTTCAACACGGATTCCTCACGTGGAGGGCTGAAGTCGTTTCCTCCTCCCTCCACATCCTGACTCGAGCTGAGAAGGCCATAGCGAACGACGATCGTCCTTTTGCGGCGTGTCGAGCACCTATTGGCTGGTGAACGGGCAGCATGCACATGTAAACAATCTGTTCGAGCAATGTCTGCCAGGAGGAGGAAACGTCTTCAGATGGAGTCGCCAGTGGTAATCGTATGAGTGGACGCCACCGAGTACGCCATCGACCTGTTTGAGACTCAGGCGTGGAAACGAGGTGTGCTACACAACGGTTATCACGGCTGGCTCGCGACGGTGTTGCGAATGTCTTGACAAACCCCAACGGGCCTCATGTCGTGCATGAACCACACACGATGAGGGCTGGAGGTCGAGCGAGGATGACGATGTTGGTGCAGGGGGCTGAAGCGTGCCCATATGCGACATTGCCCAAAATGCAGCTTCAGTCGTGTGTGTCTTAGCAACGGGGTAGGCTACATGCCGTAGTTGCGGGCTTTTAAAGATTCGAAGAAAGCCCGAGTCCAACGGGCGTCTCGTCAAACCTCTCCATCCCCAAAGGTTGCAAGTCGAAATCCCCTGTCACAGTCACCGCTTTGATATGGATCACCTTGTCCTGCCGGAGGGAGTGAAACCCTGGATCCAGGTGGCCTACGAAGGCCAGGAGGATACATACTACGACAAAGACCGTGGAAATTTCTTTGACTTCTACAAAACAAGAGGATGGACTGCAGAAGATGTGAAATTCCAGCCGAAACCCTCCGAAAACCTCCTTGGAGGAGTCGTCGAGGGCGAAGAGGAACAAGCTCGCTCAGCAGCAGAGGTTGAAACCTTCTTTCAGACCTGGCTCTTCTTTGGCCTTATCATAGAGGTGTTCGCACTGAGCGATATAGCAGTGACGACCCAAGACTTTCTGGTTCCGAACACTCTGAAGACGGTCCACAAGCCACAGAAAGCCCACCTGATCACGACGGCGAAACTGCCCTCCTTGATTGCAAAATGGCGGCAGACCAGCTCCAGAGACAACAGAACCTTTGGCGAAGCGATGAAAATGATCGACTTCGTCGGGGATATTGTCGACCATCACTGTGCAGGGGGCAAAGACCATCGGTCCGTCCACCAATATGGCAAAGTTCTGTGGCCTCTCAAGGACGAGGTGACAACCTCCATCATAGCCGTGGCGTCGACGCTCCGAAAGGCGGCCAGACAGATCTACAATGTGACGGGAAAAGAAGAGAGATGGCCTGTCACCAACTCGCGAATCCTCTACCTACGCATTCAGCGGAAGTGGTGCAAGGCAGATGCGGCGATGATCATGGAAGATCTTGACATTGACGGCCAGTATTACATTGCCGCTGCCGAAAGCCATTCGCTCGAGTCGCTGGATAGCCATTACGCCTGCACAGACCATTCTTGCGAAGCCAAGATTAGCGACGGAACCTATGTCACCCAACATGCCGACGGGTGCGAAGCCCACGATGACTATGAACCCGAACCCAAGTTCGTAGGACACCGGATTCCGGACTATCAGAAGAGTCCCGCTTCGCTCAGAGATGCGGTGAAGCATGTTTTAGATGCTGGGCACCTGCCTGTTCTCAGATGGGACTACGAACAGAGGGGGCTTGCCACCTACGGACACGAAAGATTCACCTACTCCGGAGAAGGCGCAACGCCACCCTATGTTGCCATATCTCATGTGTAAGCTGCTTCTTGCCCAGTTTAGCTGGAGTCTTGCTGACTACTTGGACAGCTGGGCCGATGGCATGGGAAACCCGTTCGACAACTCGCTGCCATACTGCCAGTTCGAAAGAATTCAACGGCTGGTCGACGACCTTTGCTCTAACCACCTGCCCGAGAAAAAGCGCCATACAAGCCCAGGCTTTTGGATGGATACGATTTGCTGTATAGTGGGCGTCGACAATGAGAGCAAGAAATACAAGAGCAAGAGCATCACGTCAATGCGCGAGATATACCATGACTGCGTTGCCGTATTGATCATCGAGCCATGGCTTGCAGCAATACCTACCACCGCGCCATTTGCCGAGATAGCCCACCGAATTTACTCCTCTGGATGGTCAAGAAGGCTTTGGACCCATCAGGAGGGTTTCCTCGGGAGGGACGTCTACTATCAGTTCAAGGACAAGCCACTCAGCTTCGCCGAGGTGACGGAAGCAGCGAGGGAGTACGAGCGTAGGATGGGAGCGAATGGGTATCCGATCACGTTCCCCTACGCGGCGGCGAGCAAGACAAGCTTCTACTACACTGGCATCAAAAACATCATTGAGAACATCCGTGAAGGCCGCTTTTCGAAGGACGACCGGTGGATCATCTACCGGCACTTGGCTGAGTCGCTTGGCCACCGATCCACAACCAATGTTGACGACGAACTGCTTTGTGTGGCGTCTGTCATTGGCCTTGACGTCGGAGACTATCTCAAGCACAAAGACGCCGAGGACAACCGCGAGCGTACGGCGGAGCTACGAATGCAAGCCTTTCTTGAAGAACTCGGCCGCTTCCATCAAGGGATTATCTTCAACAATTATCGCCGCCTCACCACTCCCGGCTTCCGTTGGGCCCCAGTCTCCCTTCTGGGACATCGGGCCTCTGGCCTGGGAGATATCGACGGCTCGACTGATTCCAAGGTTGAAGATTACAGCACTCTGCCCATGGACGACAAGCACGTTGAGCTTGAATCTATGGGACTGAAGGTCAAGATCAATCTCACCAAGCATTTGACGAAGACGCTTGGGCTTAACAAGCGATTCGTGTCTATCGTCCTGAACGACAAGACTGTGAAGCTGCCCACCGTAGGCCTTCCGGTCGACTACCCGGGCTACACCATCAAGTTCCCTAAGGGCTCGGGCCTCACGATCGATATGGCCGAACGCCGGTTTGTTCTGAAGTACTCTCCGATCCCAAATCCTGTGCCGGCCGTCACAACACCACCGCCGCTCCCCAAAGCACCTTCATTTGGGAAGGTGCCCACCGTCAAAGGAATCCGTGGCTTTGGCAAAGCATCGGAACAAGTCAACCAGCAAGTCGAGAGGGCTCAAGTGGCCGCCAATAACCTTGCCGAGACTGTGACATACCAGTACGTCGTCTATGTTGCAGAAAACGAGGTGAAGTGGGAGCATGACCGGGCCTATGCAATCATCCTCCAGCGACCGCTTGGTGACTCGGCCAACCAGGAGTTTCTCGCCATGATAGGCCTCAATTCAATCGGGCCTGGCCCGCGGACCTTTGTGCAGTCGCTCTGTTCGGCGGTTGTGCGTCTTGTCGGTCGATACGACTCGTACAAAGTCACTGCCGGACTGGACGTAGTCGAGGTTGGGAAGCCAAAGACGAACTGGGTGATCACTTAGGCATCTGGTTAGGGATTATTGATTGCCTCCTGCCAGCTTCTCTGCTCCGATCAGAAGTACCCGTAGGTACCACTAATAGCACACAATGCTTAGGGTTTCCCACCTTCTTGGGCTGCAGCGACAATGAGCAGGGTGAATCTGGGAGCTCCACGAGGACGTTACTATGAGCGAGGATATAAATACATAAATACATCGAGAATGATTCCTGCATAGACAAGCATTCGCAAGGGCATTGATTCTGATTGCGCCGTCGTGACCTTCGCTTCTGCTGGTCTGGGCAAATGAAACCCGGCCACGCAGCTCCATCTCAAGATCCCTTCAACTACGCTTCACTCTCGCTGCACCTCGTCGACGGGCTCCTCCAATCCATCCCCGTGCGGAACACCTGATGCAGGTTACTTCCATGCTCACGGCCGGGCTGCAGGCTCGTCGTTGGCTCGATTGCATCCTCTGCATGACCACGCTTCCTTGCCGTTGGGTTGCAAACCGGATGCCACACGCAGTCATCAGCAACCATCGTCTGGCGCAGTCCTCCCCCGTTCCCTCCGTCTCCCAGGTTGGTTTCTTGACGCATTGATGATGATGATGTTGATGATGTGTTGTTTGTCTTGAACCTTCAGCCATGGATGCCCGAGTCGACACGCTGTCGGGCCGCTTTGGCGGGCAATGGGCCTTTCTCTCCACGCCGCCCACTGCTGGATCACGGTCTGTGCCACACTCGTCCAGCTATCTACGAAGCGACCGCAGCAATATCTCGCCGCTGCCCACGGCGCTGCACTTCAACCAGCTCAATGCTTCCCGGTCCAGCCTCCCGCGGCACGCCCACGCCACGTCGGTCGGTGATCGCAGCTCAACTACCACGATTCCCACTCACCCGGTCCTCGTTCGAGTCCACTCCGCCGACCCCATCTTGCAAGTTCGACCGACGAGGCGGCCGGCGAGACCCCGTCGCAGGCCTAAAACCGGGAGCATGGACCTGCCGGCCGAGGAAGAGTTCAGCATACGAGGCATCTTGGCGGCCATCGCAGAGGACATCGAAGACGACGTCGATGCAATAGCGGAAATACTCGGGCGGAGTCGGCTGGTGCTGGCAGATCAGCATGAGAGTCACATGCCTCCACAGGGCGAGATCAGAGCTATAAGCAGCCCGTTGCAGGCCGTGGCAGAGGCGAGCGCGAGCAATGAGAGGCTGGCCGCCGCGGTGGACGACGTCCTCATCCTACAAGAAGATGCCAGCCTCGTCGAGGGAAGCCACACCGGTTCTGCGGCGTATGGTCTGCTCGAAAGGCTACAGATCGTGCCGGCCACGCGACGGATGAGGAGTGAAATCCCCAGGACGGTGGCCTCGAGACCCGCCACAGCGTCTGTCCGACACTATTCTGCACCCCCGGTCCTGCCTGTCGTGCCGCCGGCTGTTGAGGATATGGGAGTGTCTACAATTACTCCGTTGCCACAGTCATCGCGGCGGTTACTGCAAAGTCACTCGGACGGGGACAAACTGCAAGACTCCCAGCCAAGGACAACAGATGCCGTCGTGGCGGAAACATACCTATCCGCTGCGGCAAACGCGGTCACCATATCTGATCCGCCGGTCGTCTCTGAGGCTGGTCGACACTATCCCCTGTACAGCTACGACTACAGTGAGCTGTTCGAAGGACCGATGACTCCTCCTCCGCCAGCCCGAATGACCTTTCGTGAAAGACTCCAGTCGTTTATACCGCACATAGATCTGCCGAGTCTGGTATCATGGGTCCAAGGACATGATACGCAGGTGATCAGCGCGGAATCACAGCTTCGAGAGATTCTACACAGACAGCGATACGTGAGGGGCCCGAGAAGCCACCAGGGGGAGATCGTGGAGAGTCCGGAGATGTATGAGTGAGGCCCTCGGCTACATGCACGCGCAAACGTCTGCTCGGCACATTTACAGAGAAGCCCACAACGTGGTTTCACGGCTGTTGTGACGTTGGCAAACGCCCATGGGCTGTCTTATCCTGTATCCGGAGCTGGCATCACAGCGGTTTGACTGCCGCGGAAGATAGCCCGTTCTCGCCCAAGAGAATGGATGGCCCAGCACCCTGATCAAGAACCAATCCACGTCCAAGCAGCTGCGGAAGCTTTACGGCGGATGAAGCTGCATCCCAGGTGCAGTAAGAGTCGATCTCAATTCCGCGACTGTGAGGCAGGTGTCCTTATGATGATGCACACAATCACGCACGGCAGCTGCCATCAGATATGGTTTCCGAGCATGGGTCATGCAAGTCTGTTCTCCGAGATATTCGCAATACTCCGATATCATACCGGTCGCCCAGTACGGAGTCGCAATTTAAACATGGTTCGCCCGGGAAGAGCGGCCAGACGTGAAAGTATGGAGTCGTACTTGATCCGGCCTTCATCGGCGCTCTCCGTACTCGGTACCACGCCTCCATACACAATAAGGTCTGGGCAGGAATGGGACTCGGCTGCTCTGATCCGAAGAAAGGCAACGCATTATTGCACCACTGCCGCCCTGTTGAGCCCATCGGCGGGTCTGCTGCTCTCGAATGGTCGTTCGCCGTTGTCGAGTATGGCCAGCCCGCACATTAATTTACAATCGGCTTCAGTCCAGGCTGAGATGGTGACTTTGTCGAGCAACGCTAATGCTATGTGCTCCTGATGGGCTTTCTGCTCATCCTAGCACACAGTGGACCACATGACGTATGGGAAGCCGCTGACAAGATATCGAGAGTTGTACTCCGTTTAGTGTTTAAGAGTACAGCAATACTATCGTCATTGCTTGAGAAGCTCGGACAATTCTACCTGTTTAGCTGCTCAACCACGGATCCCGAACCCGACAAGATCAAACCAGATCGGCCGACATCACGACTTGATCTTGATCAAGACCGTCTTCGTCTCCAAGAAGTTGTTGAGAGAGTGTCCGAACCCTTCTCGGCCCACACCACTGCTCTTGTATCCCCCGAACGGCATGTCTCGTGCGGTCATGGGACTTGTGCAGTTGACAGCCACGGTGCCTGCTTCCAGCGCTTTGGCGAATCGTAGCGCTCGGTCGATGTTCTTAGTGTACACGGAGGAATACAGCCCGAACTCGCTATCGTTTGCCTTTGCGATGACTTCCTCCTCGGTCTTGAACGTGTTGATGTTGACCACGGGCCCGAAGATCTCCTCCTTCATCACCACGGCCTCCTCGGGCGAGTGGAGGAACACGGTCGGCGGCACAAAATAACCCTGCTCACTGGCGCCCGAGAGGCCGCTGACTTCCTTGGTCCCGCCCATCGCGAGCGTGCTGCTGGCCTTCCCCGCCTCAATGTACTTCTGCACCGTATTATACTGGACCTCGTCGGCCTGGGGACCATGCGTGGTCTTCGCGTCCAGCGGATCGCCCGCGGCGATCTTTGCGAATTTCTCCTTGAACGCCTCGACGAACTTGTCGGCGATCGTGTCCTGGACGTAGATCCTGCTGTTCGCCATGCACACCTGCCCGCTGTTGAACTGGATGCTGTGCTGCGTCTCCTGGACGGCGGCCTCGAGATCGCAGTCGTCGAAGACAATGGCCGGCGATTTCCCTCCCAGCTCGAGCACGACGTGCTTGAGATTCGACTTTGCGGCCGCGGCCTGGATGACGCGGCCCGTGCGACACGAGCCCGTGAAACTCAACGCCCGCACGTCCATGTGCGACGAGAGGATGGCGCCCGACGTCGCCCCGTGGCCGGAGATGATGTTGAGCACCCCGGCGGGGAATCCGACCCGTTCGACCAATGTCGCGACCTTGGCCGAGGTGAGCGGGGCCTTTTCGCTGCTCTTCAGCACGACCGTGTTTCCCGCGGCCAGGGCCGGGGCGACCTTGTTGGCGAAGAAGACGAGCGGCACGTTCCAGGGGATGATGGCCGCGACCACGCCGTAAGGCTGCTTGAACGTCATGTTGACGAAGCCGGGCGTGTTGAGGCTGCTCACGCCCTGGGCCTCCCAGCCCACTTCGGCGTAGTGTTCGAACGTGCTGGCCGCGGCGTGCGCGTCAAAGTACGTCGACACGGGCCGGCCCATCGAAAGGGCTTCCAGGCGGGACAGCTCGTCACTGGCCTCGTGCAGCAGGGCGGCCAGTTTCTTGAGATACGCGCCCCGGTCGGCGGGTGAGAGGACCGACCACGCTGGGAAGGCGGCTTTGGCGGCCGCGACGGCGGCGTCCGTGTCGGCTTCACTGGCCTCGAAGACTGTGGGAGTTGGTCATGTTAGTATGTATGCCATGCATGCCAGTCTAATACTGTATGTAATGTACAGAGTATCGTGCGAACGGTTCTAGTTGTATATAGGCAAGGGGAGAACGCCAGCGCACTTACCATCCGCAACCACCTCCCTCGTCGCCGGTGATTTTATCTGAAATGTCTTCCCATCCGAGGACTCGGTGAACTGGGGAAACCAGCGTCAGCGCCGGCGTCAGTAGGTAGGTATGTAGGTAGGTAGGTAGGTAGTCAAGGTGCGCTTAGCCGTGACGTCTCATCTCCGACAAAGGCAGTGGTCCTGTCTTGTCTACTGTACTTGGAGAGACTGAAGGGCCCCCCAAAAAAAGGGAGTGAAACGCACCTTGCCATTGATGAAGAGCCTCGTCTCGATCTTGTCTACTCCTGCTGATCCCATCTTGGCGTGTCGAGTGGTCGGTACTGAGTATGTGACTTCGACCGGTCAAACCCCTCGAAAGCGCTGATAGCCGAGACCACGATTCAAGCCGTGTGAGGGATGGATGGGTGTGTTCCTATAAGTAGCCGTTATTCTTCCTTCTTTCCTTCCTTCCTTCTGGCGTATCTACCGTCTCTGTCGGCTTGAATTCGGCTCTATCGTCTCTGCTAGGCTGGGTAATCAGGGCCAGCAGCCAAGGTACAGTAGGTCACTGAGCAAAGAGTATCTGTCCTGTCCCGTCCTGTGTCAGGCGGATGGGCCGGCGTGAGACGTCACGAGCAAAGTGACCGAGTCACCAAGACACCAAGACACCAAGTGATCGAGGGAGC